TGTGGAATCTAGGAGAACAAGACTATTGTGTTTATGAAAATGTTTCATCCTTTTGGAGTTTATAAAGATCTCAGTTTAGTCATCTCCAGCCTTGTGATTCTTTACAGATCAGCACAAGTTTCCCATGCTGCATCAACAAATGGCCCAGGCCCTGGTTAAGAGACCTTCACGGCGAGCTCAGGACCTCTCCCCACACTTTGCTGGCTGCTCTTCCAAACTCTCCGGTCCTACCATGTCTTCCCACCTTTTAAGTCAAGTTGCAGATTCCTCACATGCCGGATTCCTGTCGCCAGCACTTGAGCTGCTCACCATTGGGAAGCCCCAAAGCTCCTCCCTAGCTGTCTCCACGTCCAGGATCTCAGACCTGCCTCCTTCCTGGAAGCTACCCTGCCCCTGTCAGGCACACATTCCATGGCCTCACTCTTCCTGGGAGTTTCCAGGGCGGCCTTCACCCTTCACGTATGGAATTCTCTTTTAGTTGCAACAGCAGCACGTGCGGCTTCACGCCTGCCTCCCTTCTTTAGTCTGATGTCTGCTCCCCTTCATAATCCACTGGATCCATGAGTGGAGGGTCCGCGTACTCTTCGTACCAGTAAGAGCTGGCATTTGCTAACTGGGGTAAAGGAAACTATCTTTCGGAAACTTCAACATACTAACTCCCTAACAAAACCACACTGAAGAACACTACCACAATATTTTATTAAAATTACTCAAAGAATAAATAAATCTTAATTATTGAGAGTAAATGAAAGATTTGTAAATAAGGAGATAAACGTTTTAATAGAAACAGGAACCTAATGGTCCTCCACGTTTGTACCCAAAGCTTCCCATGCTGTTCAAGTGGACAGAGAGGCTCCCAGGACTATGTGCAGTGACAAACAAGAGGGTCAAACTCGTGAGTGGCCAGCTCTGTCCTTGCTAACTTTTGCATGAATATGATGGAAACTACAAATATTTAAAAGGAAATTCTGGCTAACAAAAATCAGAGATCTCTCTAGGCATATTAGATTCTGTTTTTAAAAACCTAAAAATTATTTTTCTCATTCTGGAAAATAAATAGTTTTTATAATAAAAACATTGGTACTGTAGAATTATATGGCCAAAATCAGTCAAAATTAAGCCCTATTTGTAAGATTTTGATGTTAGAAAAGTACTTGAAAAACTTTTATCAATTAGAATACAGCTAAGACTTTATGATTAAATATCTCACAATTAGTAACCAGATTACTTATCAGAAGCCCCTTAAAACAACCAATCTTTTTTAGCCATTGCTAATGCCTATAATCATGGAGTAACTGAAATTTATTTCCTTTTCATTTAATCAGTGTGCTTTTAGAAGAGATAGGTTGTGTTCTCTGTCATTTACAAACTCAAGGATTTAATTTAGAGTTCAGTAATTGAATGAGATGGTACAATAATGTTTTATATAAATTCATCTTTCTTATCTTTTCCAAAGAACAAAATGTACTGTATGACATAATCGTTGTTTACTTTTATGGGAGGTTTTTGTTTAAATTTCTACAACTCATCCTGGCTTGTAAATCTGGCCTCAAAATACCGTGTATTTTGTGCTGAATACAGTAGCTTTATAGGAGCCCATGGCTGCTTTTGTACACTATTATGTGATTAATTTTGCTCCTTTTTATACGGAAGCCTGGACCCCTGCCATGTACCTTTGAGGGTCCAGATATATCATTGTCATTTGCCTTCAGCTTTTCTGAGAAGTTGGAAATTTGTGTTTGGGTTTCAGAGTTCATTTATCTCAGAGGTGTTTCCTTCCTGCCTACCTCTCTTTCTCCCTCCATTTCTTCTTTGCTCCTGCCTTTTCTTCCCCTTTTTTCCTTTCTCTTTTATTTTGGAGGAGTGAGGAAGCAAAATACACTCTCTAGGCTGACTTTCAAGAGCTATGTTTAAATAAAAAACCTAGAAGAAAGGAGTTTGAGTGTTTTCTCCATAAAGAAATGATAGATGTTAGAGTAGACAGATGTTTGACCTGATTTAAACACTATACAGTATGTACTTGTATCAACTTGTATCAAAATATCACCTTATATCCCATAAATATGTCTAACTTTTATGTTTAATATCATCAGTTAAAATAAACTTTAAAATAATAGGCAGTATTCTTTGCTCTATTTTTACATACTTCAATTGTGTAGATTTATCTGGTAAACATAAAATCAATGAACCTCTAATTTACTGTTTAATCAAAGTTTTCTGCAGAAGAGGAGACACTACCATGGACCAGGAAGTGTAGTGAAGCAGCTGTGGCCTGAATGGCTGAACAGAGATCGTGTCTTTTGGAGGCTCTAATGGCAAATTCAAGCAGGTAGATAAGAACTAGGCCTTGCTCCTTGCTGTCAGGACGGCACAGTGCTGCTCCGTGTTGTCAGGGCTCAGGACCTGCCCTGGGAGTGCCCACCGGAAGAGCCCACCACCCATACTGAGTTGATTGGATTCTAACATAAAGGGCCACCACTGGACAGTTGTGGGGGGATAACCTCAGAGTCTACTGATCCTTCCTTTTCTACACAAGTGTGATTGGCTTTGGAAGTGGGACAGTTCTCTAATGTGAAAGTCTGTCCCACACACTGCCAGTATGCACATGCCTGACCTTTTCAGGCACAGTAACAAGCAAAAACACACCCTCTTCATTTTCAAAACAGATTCACATAGCTAAAACCTTGAAAAGCCCTTTAATCTTTCTTTCTTGAAGCAGGAGCAAAGAGAAGGATTTTTACAACACAAGTCTAATTAGAATATAGTTTAAAAATTTTTTTAATTTTAATAAGTATACTTTCCCAACTAATAGTATAATTGGGAACATATAGTTATGAACAGCTCAGATTTTTTCTAGTGCAATACTAACTAGCAAGAGGAAAATAAACTAGGCCCTTCTGATTTGTGATTCAATGTTAATAATACAGCTGGGTTTAAATTACTATAAAACATGTTCTTGGTTTCTAAATTGCATTAAGAATTCACTGAATTAATTGGAGCATTCATTTGTCATTTTGTAGCACCTTTTTGTCATATTTGTACCACCCAGTACTACATAAAATTTAAAAAGTGTCATCCTAAGAATTGAGTTATAACCCTAGCGTTCTAAATTCTGGTTTCTAACCTAAAGTTTACATTTTACAAAAGCATTAGGTTAAACAAGTTACTTCTTTATAATTAATACTCCACAATTTCCAAACAAAATCACTTAAAGAATAACTACTTTTAAATACAAACAGTATAAAGTTATTATATTTGTAGCTTTTATATCAAAGTTAACAAAAGAGTACCAGAAAAAGCCTTGAACATCCAGGTTTAGACTTCTCAAAGGAAAATGCCTAAATGATGAATGTAACTGAAAGACAGAGAGACGTTGTGCTTTCTCATGGTCCTTCTACGTAAAATGTAAAGATCCTGTCACCTTTAATCACGTGCACTAGCACTGCTGTGCAGGGTATTTGGAAACGCGGGAAGTGTTCTGATTGCCTTGGTGCCTGGGGGAGGTAGTTCTGTTGGCCTTCGGTGTTTGAGGGTCCAGGACAACAAATCCTGTGTGATATACAAAACAAGGAGCTGTCCTGCGTGAAAGCCAATGGCTCCTGTATTGAAAAAGGTTGCTCACCTCCAACAGACCAAGCTCCACACCAAGGAAAAGAGAAAGTCACCTGCCTTTTCGGGAAGATTGTGTAACAGGCACCATATCACCAGCTCTGGCCAGAGCTGTCTCAGATGTCTACCAGAGACGCTGCTCACCGGCCTTCTGAGTGTCTCTGTGCTCTGGGGCCACCTATTTCCATGGTCATGCTTTGCACACAGGTGGGGAACATGTTTGCAAGTAGAGCTAGGCAAAGTCTTTCAAATTATTCTTTCCAATGATGCTCACTTTCTTTGAGATGATTCTGTCTTCTCCTTCTCTCTGACATGCCCTTCCAGGAAATCTCTGTGCTTATCTGCTGGACCTCTCCATGGGTAAACTGCCCTCTCAAGCAGCCCTTCCTAGGCTAATTCCAGCCCACCTGCTCCCACCAGCTGCTGCCAGGTATTCCCAGAACATCATTTCCTCCACTTTGCTTTTATCTCAAAAATATCCAATGAGCTTCTATTTCCTATCACATCACTCCCTCTCCTTTACATCAAAATATTCTAAAGGTATGGTCCCATCTTTCACATCTATGCATTTTCCATGGTGTCTTGAGCATTGTCTGACATGTGTTGGAAGTAAATATACAGGTAATCACTATACATTGAAATTTTGGTTACTAACTCAGGACTTGGGGCCAAATATTTCTTAAAACTGTTTCATATTTCATTCCAAGCCTGCAATTTTACCCTCCTTTATACTCCCATGGTATTGTCAGTGCAAGGAATAGATCATTCAGTCTCCTACATCTCATGCTTGGCTACCATTGCAAGCTTTCTCTGCTCAGCCAGGTAGACACCTGAGACAGGCGAATGGTAGCAACCTGACAGGTCTTTGGGTAACTGCTCATTGTCACCAAAGTGCATCATAATGTGTAACGTGTATCTGGGGCTTAGAATATAACCTAATTCTTAATGCAAATGACATGAGGCCTGTCAGAAGATCAGGGAGAAGCCTGTACGGTTAACAGCAATCTCCTATTACAGGCTATGAATCTGACAAAAGATTTTCAACCAAGACATATGGAAAAGAAAAAAGAGACAGAGAGATGTTATCAAGTTATATTAACTTGTCTGCGATGGATTCTTCATTTCTGAATTAGTTTTGGTCTCTGGGTGATGGCAGAACACTCATCCTCAATTTATAAGCAAAGTACTCAATAAAAGACTCTGCAAATTCAAGGACATTCAAACAGTCCACAAGTCACAGTTCCTGTATATTTACAGGCATGGGTCTGATATACAGAGTTCTTGAATTATCATATCCACAGCCTTATTTTTTTCAACTAATATCCAAGGAAACTGTCCCTGGAAATCCTCAGCTTCCTTCAGAAACAATACCAGCCAAGAGCAACCAAGACTTTAAAAAATATTTCCATACATTATTTATTTTATTTATTCTCACCTTTTTAAATACAGGGAAAACATTGCCATCTCTGTTTAGTTACACAGAATTAGGCTACTGCTATGTAACACGAATCATCCCACTTGTGTCCAGGAATTGAGAGTCAAGCCACTTTGCTCTGGGGTGAAACCAATTAAGTGGACGTTGTAAACATTTCCACAGGAGGTAGAACATACACTTCTGACTTTTGGTCAAACAAGCAAGAGATAGTAAACAATGATTCTCAGAGCCTAATAAATTAAAGGTATTGTAAAGACATTAAATACACTCTTTTTTCTTTTTTAGAGACCAAAGAGGAAGGAACATACAGATTTTCAATAAATTAAAGAGCAAAATAGTAAATCCTTGTAGTTGAAATGTTTACATCTTAAATCTCCACTGCTTTGATAGTGTTTAAAACTATGATTAACAAGGAGATAACATTTTAAACTATGTGTGTCAAGGCAACCACAAGCATCTCCATCCACTGTGGAGTTATCTGTAGCAGGAATGACACAAAGGACAATGTCCAGCTGCCTGCTGAGTCCACCATGTTCCTCAATTCCATCGAAGTCTGAGTGAACTGCACTGCAGAGGTGTTTAAAATCTCAACTCCACTTGATATGGTTGGTTTAGGTGCCTCCGGCTGCTGTTCCCATAAACACAGTGTTGATGGGTGGTAAAGAGGACACAATCTCTCTACTGCTTGCTCCATGAGAGTCCAGGGCCTCTTGCCCCGGATACTGGTTGGAAGTCCCATACATACACTGGGATGAAGAGGAAGGAATTGGGGTTTGCAAGTTGGAAGCTGGAAGGAAAAAGTAGAATCAGCAATTGGCAATGGTTGACATTTCCTTTTCTCTGTAAGTGTCACTCACTTTAAGCTTCTGTATTTCATTTTGCAGTTAGCACACATCCACCTGTTCAAAATCTGAGTGCATGTAGTCAGAGCAATCACCTTTTATTCCCATTTTCCCCACTTGATATCTTGTCAGAAATTGTTTTCTTCCATACTTCATGAAGGAAACTCAGTGTCATTTTAAGTTCTACCATTAAAGCTCTTTTCTTCCACTTGCCTCCTCCTTCACCTGCACCTCTGTCTTCTCTCGCCTGGACCAACGCAGCCTGGACTAACTGGCCTGGTGGCTCTCGCCATCGTCCCACTCTTCACCCTCCAGGAGGAGCCAGAATAATCTCGCAGAAATGCAGAGCTAACCTTCACTCTTCTCAAACGCTGCAATGACTTCCCACACTTGAAGCAAGATCTAACTTCTTTCCCTTGGTTATGAACCCTACACCAGTGATGGCAAACCTATGACACATGTGCTGCAGCCAGCTGTTTGTTATCACTGAAAGCTCCGTAAGGTTCACCATCTCTGCTCTGCAGTATGATTCATTTGTTCCATTGCCTCCTTTGCCCACTCCACGCAAGCCACACTGGCTTCCTTTCTGCCCAAGGAATTTCCAAACTTGTCCCCATTTCAGAGGCTCTGTGCTGCATCTCTCCCACCCAGAACCCCACTAGCAGACCCTCATCTCACTGCTCCTTCCACATGCAGCTGCACTCAAATGCCTCTGCTCAGGGTTCCTCTCCACTCACCCTGTGCAGAGCCGCATCTCCATTACCATCTGCCATTTTACGCTGTCCAATCAACTTCAGAGAACCTGCAATCATCTTTGAAACGCATCTTTGCCCTCCTCTTCCTGGTACAAGGGAAGTGTCCTCAGGCAGGAGTGGTCCCCTGTTCAGCCCCACACCCTCCTGCCAGGACTGAAGTCTGACACCGATATGCCACTCCCTGCCAATGGGCTCGGATTCCCCATGTGGTGGCTGCCTTCGCGTCATGGAGGTGACACACAGTCCCTCACTGGGGACCAGGCTCTGTAAATGAAGGAGCCCCTGGTTCTCCTGCTCCTGCTGACTCTACTCCCTCCTGCACCCTGCTGGGTCCATCAGAACCTCCACTATCTGGCAAGTAAACAGAACTAATAGGAACAATACCAACACAGCACACTATAGTCCATGGTGGGGAAGTGGAATTCCTCCTGAAGTGGAATTTTCTGCTTCATTAGAGTGACCTGGAAGCGATGGCTGTTTGGAGATGCAAGAGATGAGCCGCTGGACTCTGTGTGGGAGCTTCTGGGATGTCAGGAGGGGAAGAAGCACTTCCTACTGGGTTACTGGAAAGGCACACCGAGTGAGCAAAGAGGAACTTATCTCTCCCTTCTGCTCTGACTGGGTATGAATGCCTGTATGCACACTGGTCTAAAATCAGTTCTAGTGGAGGACTCCAGCATCCCATAGAAACATTAACGCTTGGCTTTGATTCTTAATGACCATATACCTTGATAGTGATTTTGGAAACTAAATTTATACATAGAGTCAGCCTAAAGATCTATGTTGATAGTAATAACATGATTATTATAGACTAAATGCATATATGGGTGTGCCTGAGTGCGCCTGGGCACACATGTGTTAGGGATTGAACCCATGGTCTCTCACATGTCAGGCAAGCATCTGACATACATCCACAGCCCTTTTAAAGACAGAGTTTCACATTAGCCATGGCAATTAGACAAGAGAAAGAAATAAAAGGAATAAAGATAGGTAATGAAGAAGTCAAATTGTCATTATTTGCAGATGACATGAT